AGTGTAAACAACTTATTCACATTAGCAAATATTTGAATTTCTAACCACCAGAATAAGTGCAGTCTTTACAATACTAGTTCTGAAACACAACTAAAACATGATCCTTAACTCCAACATCTTTAGCAAATGACTTTGTACATGCACCTAAACACCAGCACAGGAAGGGTATAGCAACAACAACAAATGAAGCTCTGCAGTTCTTCTCAAGCACAACATACCACAGCATTTGAGCCAAACAACTCTTGGTATTTGCCAGGAAAGTCTGGCATCTTTAAGGTGACTAACATACCTACAATTCTTTTTCTAAAAGGGTATTTTGCCGTTATAAAAGAACATGATGCTTATCAGATGAAACCATGAAGTAATTTGTAACATCACATGCAAACTGAAGACAACTGCAAAGGAATTTTGTGTAGAATAAAGAATAAGTTGTCAACAAGCTCCCACATAGGCTTACTCAGCACCAGCTGCTTAACAAGGTATTTGAGAGAATAGCTCTTATCTCAGAGGCCTCATCTCTCAAGAGCACTCTCCCTTTTACATCAAGGTCTAGCAATTGCTGTTTAATGTCATACATGAATGTAAAGATCCTTTCCAAGATGTCTGTAGAGTGTGACTTCGAGTTCCCACTGAGATTACTCCAACCTCTTTACCTTCCAAGCTTCTGGGTTTTCAATCTAAATACAATATTAGCATTTCTTCTCTGTAACTATCAGAGCAGCCATTCCTTCTTTATATCCAAATTTCCAAGACCTACTGCGGTCAACCATCAACACTAAGATTAAACACACAGTATATCCAGATTACAATTGCTTTCTGAATGTTTTACTGCAGAGGAAGATCCATATGCTATACACAAATATATGCCCCGGTAGGTGGAAGTGCTGGTTGTTCTTTTGTAGGAAAAAAAAAAAAAAAAGACCAGTTAGGTAGATATTGGTATATATTAGCTGTGCTCATCTCAAGGTACCTTGTCTTGGGGACAGCACTATTTAAAGCTAGAGGAGAATTGGTTCAACAGTGAATGGCATTGTATCTGGAATTCATGACTCCTAGGGCCATGAATCAGTAGTTCTTTAGTAACACATTGACATTTAGGAGAAAGGACAGAGAAAACTGCATCAATCAGGATGGGACTCCCTACCCCCTTCCCCTTACTCCCCCCTGCCCCAATCCCTGGAAAAGGGAAAGGATTTCTTGGTTTCTTTTTTTTTTTTAATTAAAAAAAGGAGTGGGTTTATTTGCTTGTAACAACTCATCCCTTGTAACTAAATTTGAGTTCATGAGTCTCCAGTGGAATCTCAGCAGACAACAGCATAAATTTATTATTAAACCTCCTGAAATTTAACAAGAATTGTTACACCTATTTGGAAAATTCAGTTGACGCAGTATTTATCACCTTATCCCATGTGACAAAAGCTGAAGAGACTGTAAAGGCAAGAAACCAGTTCTTTAAACAAACAAAAAAACCCCCTCAACACTGTTTCAAGGACAGCACTGACTGGATCTAAACCTTCATCATCCCAGATATAAAAGGAGCTTGAACAGAAACAATGAAATGGCTGAAAAGAATGAAGGTGAAAACACGAGTCCTACAAAAAACATTGGGGGATAATACTAGAGGGTGGGATAAGCAGCTTTTTGACCAAGACCAAGCACTATGATTGAAGCCATTGCCACCTCAACAGTGATTTTATCACATAATTAGATATTTTATTTTTTATTAGGCAGAGATGTACAAGCCCTCTAAAACACATCTCTAAAGCCATTTAGAAAGAAAAGAGTTTAAAATAGAAATTGACAGTTCTTCAGCATGTTGATTTACATTGGAAAGAAAAAGCCATATAACTAAACCCACAGAAATTCGAAGCAGGAATCCAGTTAAAATTCCTACATATTCCAATTATTCTCAAATAGGCAGTCTATAAAACATTATATGCTTAAGAAAGTCAAATTCTTGTGTGCTGACACAAGTTAAAGCTGGGAAGTTAACACATTTGATTCTGAAACCAAGATTTCTAAAGTCCACAAGACCCCGTCTTGAAGCTTTCCGTGCAGCATGAGTAATAAAGATCAAGTTTAACACAAAAGTATCATACTATATATAAAATAACTCCAAATGGATACAGATCAGATTTTGCTTCTTTTGAAACAGTTTTAGAATAATCAAGTCATGCAAGCAATTAGATTCAAGTAAAAAGGAGATTAAATCTAGGTAGACCAACCTCCCCTCTCCCAGAAACCTTACTTTTATTGATGAGAAGGGGAGGAAAAGGCTGAAGACAGAAGCAACCTCAAATTTGTTTTCAACTGGGAAATATATAAACTTACAACCCTGTACATAGAGAATGACATTAAAGTACAGTTTTGCTGGTTCAGTAATAAAACAAATCCACATTGTAATCCTACAGCCTAAAGTTTTCTAAAATCTTGGAAAGTACTTTGACCAGCTGCAACTCTCTTGCTTGGCTAAGAAGCACTGCCAGCTCAGTGGCCTGCCTAGATTACCATAGCTTTATGGATAGGAATTAGATGCAGGAGAGTGCTGATGAACCTCCTAATTTATGCATTATATAGGCCAATATTACTTAAACAAACTAAATAAAACTGCAGTCATCACAACTCAGACTAAACAACGAAGCCTAACAAAGTTTTTTTCTTAACTGTATCTCAAAGAAATATCCTAACACTATGAATCAGAGGTCTTGGAAAAAAACCTTCTGAACTTCCCATTAAAAAGAATATTTGTCTGTATGCTTCACAAAAAGCATGCATGTTTTGTTTTATTTTAAAATCTTCTCAGATTTATAGGCTTGTATAAGTTGGTTTTCACTTGAGTTATTTGAAATACCACGTTCAGCTCTGTATTAGTGACTGCTCTATCACTTGACATCAGAAGATCTCATGCAAGAAATGCTGACAAAAATCAATTCTTAACCTGCACTGGACACACTTCCATATATTATCCATCATAACAACTTTACCCATATTTTTTGTTCACCATTTACTGTATTATTATCTTAACCTCAGCTAAAAATAAATCATAATAGAGTTGAGAAAATCCTTAGGGGCAAGGATGATCTAAAAAAAAAAACCCCAAGATGCAGCATTTAGAAAACAAACTGAATAACATGAGAGCAGAAAGCATCACAGTCAAAGGGAATTTACCTACAAGGCTCCTTTTCTTTTCAGTTAACATAAAAAAAAAAGGAGGCAAAGAACAAGAATAGTAGGGGCAAGCACAGGACAAAGATAATATGAAGAGGCTGCATGGGGGGTGAAGCAGACTGCCAAAGCCCAATCAAACATGTAGGAAGATCTCTGACCATCTAAAAATTTTCTCTCCTGCAATTTCTGCCACAGAGAAGAAGAAACTTCCTTCAATTTTTCATTTCAAAGCACTTTTAAAACATCACAGGGATCATTTACACAGCAGCAGTCCAGTAGTACAATACTCTGCTCCAGATACATTTCAATAACAGTTGCCAAAACAGGATCTGCAAGGAACATTAATTGTGCGTTTAAAAATCTGTTCATAGGTTTGATAGTCTACAACATGTTTAGTCAGCTTAACCCATAAGAACCAACTGCATAATTAATTGTATGAACTTGCCTATATTTTCTTTAGATGTCAACTATTTCTGATTATGTTACAGCTGCATTTTAAAAGCCAAAGAGCTCCAAAATGTATGAATCTGTATTATATACGAATGTAAGGTTGTTAGGTTAACACAGTTTAATTGTTGTTTA